TTTAAAAAAAAAAAAAAAAAAAAAAAAAGGAGCGTCATCTTGGAAGTTCATGCACCAAACTCTTTTTGCATATGACAATATAGATAATATAGATAATGCGTTTTATGATTATCAATTAGTGTTCATTGTTATACCTTATTAACTATAAAGGGAAATGGTAAGAGAAAATATTAAATAAATAAATATTTACAAAATGATTATTAATTTTCCTTTTTTCTTGTGCTATGTAAAAAAAAAAAAAAAAATTTTTTTTAAAAACAAATTTTTTTATTTTTTTTTTTAAAAAAAACAAATACTTTTTAAGAAAACAAATAACCTTTAAAAACAAATAGCCTTTTTTTTAAAAAAAGGTTATTTAAATGACGCTAAGATAACTCTTCTCTTCGGAGATTGATAGAGCTTATGTAAGAGTTGGAACGGAGATTAATATGAAAATAAATAATTTGCAGGGTGATACAAAATATAATCACGACAATCATTTATCACGTTGAAGCTGCGGCTACTACGACTGCATAAAAAATGGCGAATTAATTTTTAGTTCTTAGAAATTAAATTCGGTAAATTACGCTCTGAAAATATGTTATAAAATTTTGATATCTACTGTATATTCTAAATCGAAATCATCGTCATTTCTTGTTAAGAACATCTTCCGAACGCACATCGGTGGAAATCCTATGCTGAGATGCTGATAAAATGCACAAATGTGATTCCCTACACACCAGAAACAAGTTAAATAACGTTGACCAAATGACTCGGCTATGCCGATCTAGTACTCCCTTTATTTTAAATGCACACATTTTAAGATGAATATTATTATTGTTATTATTATTGTTAGGTATTACTTTAATTTTTGGTATCAAAATTATTTCCTTTTTTTTTATTATTATTTTTATTTGATTCCTTGAATTATTTTTCTATTAATGGTTTACAATCTTTCTGTTACTCTATTAATAAAAAAATAATTTGATCAACGAATTTATTTTAACGATGAAGTAACGAATAGAGATCTATTAATGACTTATAATCTTTCCTGTTACTCTATTAATAAAAAAGTACGTAATTTGATCAATAAATTTATTTTATCGAATTTGTATTGGTTTGCTAATGAATTAAAACTTACTCTTAAGTGAATATTTTGAGGATCATTCAATTCAAATTAGAGACATTTATCGAAAACTTCGAAGCAATACTTTTCTCTGCTGGGCACCAACGGCTTTCGACATAAGGCTCCCTTCAGGATTTTGACCGTAGGGCCATAATCCTTAGTGCCAAAGTTCAGTCTTTTTTAAAGTTAACTTATAAATTACATAACAAACCTATTAAAAATTAACATTCGATCGTTAAAAAATGATTGTATTAAAGATTACAATCAGAACTCGATATAACGACTATGAATTTCATGTTTACCTTGATTTGAAGATTGTTTTTTATTTAATCGAAGGGTTCATTATGTCGAATTCTAACTTGTATATTAGATAAAAATCAAATATCCTACCCAAAATGAGGTAAAATATTGAACATCCTGAATCAAGAAAAAAAGAAAATAAGAAGAGTAAGTTTATTTGTTGGGTTTAACAAAGTGAAACAATAAATTACTTCAAAAATAAAGTTGACCGTAATATATTACCTCAAACCCATTCTGGGAAGTTTCCTAAAAAGAGAATAAACGAAAACAACGTTAATGTTGTACTTAAAACAAATAAAATAAATAAAGTGAAAATAGAACGAATATACCACAAACTCGTTCCAATAAGCTATAGATCTTGTCACTAGAAAAATGTATAAACGAATATGTCTTATGAGTGTTCTAGGTCCGGAAGAAACTAACTTAATTCTAACCTTCCCTCACCAGAATAAGAGTAAATGTATGCCAATTTCTTGTGTTTTATTATTAATAATAAGTCAACATTAACACTTCCAAAATTTTAAAATTAAATGAAAAATTTTTAATGATATTTCGATAGTTATTCTGTAGTAAAGAAATTACATGTAAAAGTTATCGTAGAATGTAACTGAATATACAGCAAAATGTGTACGACATCACAAATTGTACGACGAAAGATTGTTTAAAGGCTGCAAAGGAACCGAAATGGATAATCCCACCTGCTAATTGTGCTCTATAATGACCATTATTGGTATAAATTCACGATAAGAATAAATGTTTGGTCTAGCATAAAATCGATAAATTTTCATATAAAACATAATTCACTTCGGGTCTACTCTATAATCGTAGCACGAAAATCATTTAAAACGTCAATTGATAATTGAGAATTGTGTTATCTGGCAATCTTGTACTGATTAGATTTTTTTAAAAGATTAGATTAACAATAATTTCGCAACAAATTTTTTGTCTATAAGTTCTTCGTAAAAATGGGGATGAATATATGTTTTAATGACAGAAATATATGCAGATTATGAGGAAAAAAACTTATAATGGTAGTTACTCCATCAGTTTTCATGTAAAATGCAAAAAATCAAAATTAAATTCTTTGACTTTAATATTATTTTCAAACTACACTTGTATGATTCTTCTTTTTTTTATTTAGCGTTAGATTGGTTGGAGTATTTCTAGTAATTTGAAGATTATTTTTTTCTCTCATTTGGAAGTTTTACTTAGGTAAATTTTGTATGACTTTGTGATGAATATTTTATTTTGTAGAAAGTAAATTAACTTATTAGTTATTCATTTATCTCGTAGAATACTTGATATTTTTAAATCGGTTGTAAAAGTATTAACAGTTATTATTCAGTATAATTCCCAAAATTTTATCCTGCGTTTGCAAGGTAAAAATTGGTTGTATTTTCATTTATTTTTCTTCCATTCCATTTCTAATCTTAATTTCTTATTTTTAGATTTCGTCTTGCATCTTGAGTGATTAATAATTAAAATCATTATAAGATGGTTCAAAAAATTTACCCGATTTTTTTGCATAATTTATTCTTTTTTTGACGAGAGCAAGGTTGACATCCTTTTCCTTTGTGTGTGTAGTGTATATTACATGAATTTATTTTCGTTTAAGCTAACTTTTTTAATTTTTTTTTTCGGATTACCTAGATTACCTTTTTTGTGTAAACTACTTACTGTACACGTAGCTTACCTTCTGATGTATCGGTTGCGCTAGTAGTTATGATAAGTTTGGTAATAGTGATAGTGGAGTTGTTGATGGTGATGGCGGTGACATTGGTAGCGGTATGGTATTAATGATGACAGTAAATTAGAATTTATTGTAATTGTATTTATTATAAAATAAATATTCTCAATTTCTACTTAATTTTATTGGATTATTATTATTATTATTTTTTTTGTTCAAATCTCCATGTACGGTATCTTTACCATTCTTTCTTATTCAATAATCTGGCGACAATTTAAGAGTAAATCTACTATCACTTCATTGTTAGGATTTATATTTTCAATAAGGGTTCTGTTGTTGTATGGCATATGGCGTGATCATTATTCTTTTGTAGTATACAAATAGTAGTAATGGTGATAGTAGTAGGAGGCAAAGGATGATAGGATGATTTTGAATGGCTTGGAGACTTTTTTTTTATATTTTTTATCTAATACATAATTCAGGTCGTGATTTCCAAAAGGAAATTTTATTAACTCTATATCTCTATATCAATGCAATAAATTGTCATGTTGGCACATTATGATTTACTACCAGCAATAGATACTCTTCTCAGCATTAAAAAAATTAAAT